ACTTTATCCAGTCATAACCTAATCCTTTTGTGTTCACAATTGAGTATTGTCTGGAAAATATTTCCACTACTTACAACTTCAATCTAGAATCATGTTACTACGGAACAGAACAAGATATCCAGTCATAGCATCTACCCGAGAACTTCTCATCTTAGACGAATTCTGCAAGTGTCAGCAAAGGAAAATTTCCAATTTCAACCAGAGGAGAAAACAAATTTTTTCTTTTCCAAAAGAAAAATTGTTTTCCTTCTTAAGGGGGGAGGTGTTATGAACCCATATCAAATGTGGTATATTTTTTGATAAATGAATGAGAATAATGAGTCCATTCACATCGTAGACGTAAAGTCAGCATGTCTGGAGAACAATGACTCCATTCACATCGTAGAGACATAGTCAGCATTTCTGGAAGCTTCGCTTCTGGACAATCATTCTTTTGTTTTCTTATCTAATCTTGATTACTGGTCAATGAACAATGACTAACGATAGATCGAACTTATAAAAGGAGGCTGAACGTCTCAGCCATGGTTCTTGTTTCTCAGGACTTGGTTCTTGTTTCTTTAGACTTCGTTCTTGGTGTTCGACTCTTAGTTCATCGGTTTCTCCTGATATCTTAGAGTTCAACTTGTGTCTAGGTCTAGTTTTGTGATAGTGTTTACAACTAGTAGTGTTCATAACATTATTTTAGTGACTAATTTGTTCTGTACATGTAACATGTTGTAAAATGTTCTTCTGTTGCTTACAATCAATATAATTCTTCTTTCGTTAAAAGTGTGTTCGATTTCAATCTTGAATAATACCACGAACGCGGAGGAAGATCAACGTTGTGAATCGATAATCGAATCGGGCCACGACAATATATATGTAAAAAAAAAAATGAATAATGATGATGATAATAATGATATTGATTTTTGTAACGAAGATGAGAATGATAATGATAATGATTATTATTATAAATTTTTTATTTTTTATTTTTTCATTGATTTTTTTTTGTGTAAATTAAAATAAAATTTTTTTTTTTTTTTTTTTAAATAATAATAATAATAATAATTATTTGCAATCGAATTTTTATTTTAATAATTTTTTCCCCTTCCCCTTCACCCTCCCGCGCCATCACTTTCCCCCCTCTTCCGTTCCCTTATAAAAAAAAATAAAACGATTAGACATCCGTAATAATAAATAAATAAATTTATTTAATAAATATAGGAACATACAATTGAAATAAAAAAAAAACAAACATTTGAAAATAACAATAATAATAATGATAATAATAATAATAGTCTTGTAAAAACAAAAATAAAAATAAAAAAAATAAAAAACGGTAACGAAATTATTTTAAAATCGGCACAGCCAAAAAAAATAAAAATAAATAATAATAATAATAATAATAATAATAATAATGGATCACTCTACGTGAAACGCGAAAAAATCCACTAAAAATTACAGGAGAGAAAGAGAGAGAGAGACAGACAGAGAGAGAGAATAGTACTTTATACGAATTTTTTGGGGGATTCCCAAATTTTTAAAAAAATTTATTATTATCAGTCTCCGTTTTTTTAAACAAAAAAAAAAACGATTTGAAATTTTTATTTATCAATCATTGATCGATTGATCGATTATTGCTACTACGATTTGTGACGTTTCATAAACGTATTTTCCCCGCCCCCTCCCTTCCCTCCCTCCCTTCTTTCGCCTCCAAAACGTTTCATCATTCATGATCGATTTTAATTTTTTCTGTGTGGTAAAAAACGAGAGAAAAATTAAAAAATAATAATAACGACGACGACGACGACGACAGCAAAACAAATTCAAAAACGAATTATTTACGCTTTAATTATTATTATTATTATTATCATTATTATCATTATCGCTCCGAAAATAAAAAAATATAAATAAAAAATAAAAAAATTTGCTGTCACGCGCAATGAATTTTCTTTTCTATTAATAAACCATTACGCGGTCGGTGGTAACGCACACAAAAAAAAAACTTTTCGCCTTTTCATCGTTTGACATTTTTTAATTATTTACAATAATTTACATCGCATCTCACTAATAATAATAATAATAAATTTTCCGGAAATGATTACCACAACTGGAAAAACTCGATGAAAATATTTCGATTTTGTTTTGGTGTTATCAAAACAAAAAACTTTTCCGAGTTAGGTCGTCGTCGTCGTCGTCGTCGCGCTCGTCTTCATTTTCCCATCGTTACCACAATTTGGACATTTCAAATCATCATCATCATCATCAACACCCCCACCGCCACCGCCACCGCCATCGTTTTTAAACAAACAAGCAGAATGAAAAACACGACGACAACATTTGAATACGACGAGTCCAGATTCCCCGATTAAAACTTTCGTGTTTAACGGCAACGAACAAACGGTACAAACATTTTTGTAATTGACTTTGACTCCCCAATGATTTGAAAAATCCCTTTCGGAATTTCTATAATTTTCTCCAAAAATTTTCCTACCGATTTTTTCCGACGCTATCGATAAACCATCGTCGGATTCGTCGTTGTCGATGGACAACGACAACGACGACGATGACGACAACAACAATTTATCGATAATTTTTTTCTTATGTTTGTCGTTGTTGTTATCGTGTTTTCCCATAATCAAACAAAATATTAAACTCTGATAAAAATTTTTATCCATTTTCATTGAATTTAATATTTCTTTCGATTTATTCCCGAATAATTTCAACGCGTCTTCCGGATTTCTGGACAACTTGACGGATATCATTCCGAATTTTGTCCAGGACACGATTCCCTCCTCCCCACCACTCTCGGATTTGATTTTCTCGTTACAATTCAAACAATATCCCTCGTTCACTCTTATCAAAAGATCCAAACATTTTTCCAGCGTGTTTAAATCGACGTTCCCGTCTCCCGATCTCGTTTCCAATTCTTCCAATTCTCCAGTTTGTATAATCAATTTAATGACCGACTCGAACGGATCCTTTCTTTTCACTTTTATCAATAATTTCCACAGGTACGGAATCCTTCGACACATTTCAAAACATTTTTTCTCGTTTTTAACTTTCCAATTTTTCAATATCAAAGCGTGTCCCAAATCTGGAAATATCGGTATCGGATACACGGACTGGAATTTATATATTGGAAATCCGCACGTGCAATTATAATCCGTGACGGAACTCGAAGCGGAATCGAAATTTTCAAGGCAATTTATCGCGTAATTTTCAATCGTTTCGTTCATTTCCCTATCGAATTTTCCCCTGTCGGATTCGAGGATTTTATTCAGGTACGTTAAAAAAATCGTGTTGCTTTGCAATTCGACAAATTTTCCAAATTTTCCCGTTTCCGTTATGTTTTCTTCGTGTTTCAAAACGAGGTAAAAAAAATCATTTATATCGACGCGATCGAAATATTTACTCATTTCCTCCATTCTCACGTGATTTATCAGTGAATAAATATAATTTAATAATTTCGGATAAGATTTCATGTCATCATCGTTTACGTTACCGGAAACGGAAGTGCAATCTTCACAATAATTATTTAATATTTCCAATAGAGATTTATAATAACATTCGAGTTTCATTGATTTGACTATTTCCACGATTTTTTCCTCGTTTAATATTTTCGAAAATAATTTTAATATTTTACTTAGTTTGTAATCGAATTCCAAACATTTTTTATCGATGTTTTCAACGAGGAAAACCGGATATTTATCAATCTCTTCCTCTCCTTCCTCGTTTCTCTCCTTCGACCTGAAATTTTCTCCGTTTATATTTTCCAACCATTCGTAAAAAAATTTAGAATTTATTTTTTCGTGAAAAAAACCTGAGATTTTATTTTTATCATCATCATTATTAATTAATTTTTCAAAAGGCAACGAATCTAAACTATCTAAACTATTATTATTATTATTATTATTATTATTATTAATATTACTATTCGAACGCGCTAAATCTAAAAAACTATCGAAAAAATTTTGAATGGTATTTTTTAATGAATCCTCTTCGTTTCCGGTGGTATCGTTTATCGATTCCAAAATTTTTTTAATTGAATTTTCCACGTTTCCGACTGGAAATTTTTCCATTTTCCCAATTAAACAACGTTCCGATCGATTATTATCAATTTTTATCGAGTTTTCCTCTTCTCCTTCTTCTTCTTTGGTTTTTATTTGTTCGTCTTTTAAATCCGGAAGTGACGACGTGCTACCTCTTTCGATATTTTGAAATCCATTTTGAAATCTTTCCGGTGAAACGCTGTGCGAACGTCCTTTTAAATTTAAATACGAAGGCCTCAAAGGTTTCTTATGATTTTTAAAAAAAAATTTATTTACATCACTTTGATTATTATTATTATTATGGCGATGGCGATGGGGATCACTTTGGGTCGTCGCGTTATAAAATTCAAATTTTATCCTTTGAACGTTTTCTAATTTTTTTTTCCGCGCGTTTTCTTTGAATATCTCTATAAGGGGTTTTAATACGTCACCGTAACCGTTATCCGGACTTGATAATTTATCGTTTAAATCGTGCAAAACGTGTAATTTATTACTTTTCCCGGATTCTTTTAATAAAAAATTCAAATGTTCAACGCATATCTTTGACAAATCTAAATAATTTTTACTTAAATATAAACTTATTAATAAATTTTCTAACGTGACTACGTTCAATGCGTACATTTTGCCAAAACCCGACCAAACGTAAATGACGTCATTAACGGTTTTGGCATCGACAATGTTTGTTATTTCGTTGTTCCACAAAATTAAAACGGATTTTTCCGGATCGAATATGTACAGGCCATCTTTTTTATACGTGAATAAAAATTTATTCGACATGAAGGCGTATAATTTTTGAAAATTAAATGATTGCTCGGTGAAATTCATATTTGTTTGTACAACATCGTGCTTTTCATCATCGCGAGATGAATTCACGTTTTGACTAGATTTAAAATCTTTTAAAAAATAAATTTTTTTAGGAGGAACAGCCAATGCTTCTTTAAAATGATGTGTGCTTATAACCGTTCCATCAATGGCACATTCCCAAACTCTTGAACCTGGCCGAGCACAAAACAATTTCAAATTAGATAAATTTGTTATGTCTGTTGTTGTTGTTGTATTATTGCTATCTGAATTATTTTCCTCTCTAGTTTTAAATATGCAAGCACCATATTCTCCATCTCTTAATTTATGTCCAACTTGTTTGAACAATTCTTTTTTCGTATCACATATGTAACATTTTGTAAGCGTAGAAACTAAAAGCATGTTCGAATTGAAATCCATTTGAACAATTTTCGAGTCTAATTGCATCAAAACAAAACAGGGAGTTTGAAACATTCCCTTGGCTGGAAAAACTGATGTTAACACAATAGATACTTTTCCATTATTATCACCCACAAATAATTCATTATTCACATCGTTCCATTGCAAACAAGTAACTTGTTCATTTTGATGTTCTGTTGCTGTTATCAAATGTTTGATTCCATTCGATGTTTTTTCCAATATGCACACCATACCTTTGACAGTTGAAAAACCTATGAATTTTTCATCTGGAGATATAGATACTTGTGTTACAGATCCTTCTTTGTTTGGAAGTAATTGTAAAAAACAACATGGCTCCCTTTGAAAGACGTAAAGGCTTCCACTTGTAGCTCCGAATATTAGGTAACTATTTGATGTGTTGAAACATGTGTACTGAAAAAATTGTTTTACTATCAACCATTATTGATGTTCATTTGTCCAAATTCCTAATTTATTCAAATACTAATATAATAAATTAATTACTAAATGTTTTAACTTGTTTTTTATATTTAATTTGTTTAAAAGTTTTAAATAAAAATAACACACTTACTCTTTGTCATTCATTCATTCATGCATGCATTTTATTACCTTTATTCGAGTTGTACTTTTTAATGGAGTAAATATACAAGAAAGATCTTCATATTCTGTTAATAAATACATGGAGTTATCCATTTTACCTAAAAAAAAAAAAAAAAAGAATTAACAAATCATTATTGAAAAGGTCAGTTTGACATTTTGATATTAATTAAAATCTTTGTAGAAGAAAAAAATTAAAAATTTTAAATACTGATACCAACAAATGCTGATGTAAAAAATTAATTTTAAAAAAGCGATTAAAATTTATATCGATCAGTTATAAATTCATAATAAGTTATTAATAAAATTAAAATTAAAAATCAAATGATAATATTGTAATTTTAAAAATAATAATTTAAAAGAAAATCATAATTTTTAAATTAAAATCATTCGATAAACAATTGATTGTAATAATAATAAATAAAAACCATACCGTTTTTTATAAATAATGTAAAATTACAAAATTAAATCAAATGATTTTCATGCTAAAAATAATTGATGTTTTTTTTTTTTTTTCTTTTTTTTGTATTATGTAACTGTTATTTAATCCATGTTTTCTTTTTAATAAGTTCAAACTTTTGCCACTTTTACTCTGATGGCAGCACTTACGAGTCTCCATTTTGCAAAGCCTCCGATATTCAAAATATTTAACCGGAAATTAAAACCTCGTGTTTGTTGTTTACTTAAAAAAAATTTTCCACAAAATTTCCTCGACATTCCTCAAAAATTAACAATTGTAATAATAATAATAATAAATTTTATCCTTTAATTCTTTTCAATCTTATTAAATTTTCAAAAGTTTTAAAACAAAAAAATTTTAAATAAGGATGCTATGGTAAATCCATTCAATTTAAAAAATAATTTAAAATTTTATGAGAAATTATATTCAAATTACAAAATAAAATTTGATAAAACATTTTTAAATTACAATCTCCCAACCTATAAAAACAAAATATTTAAATGTTAGATTACATCAATTTTTTAAATAAAAAAAAATTTTTTTTTCAATGATGAAATCAAAATTTATATAAAAAAAGAAGAAGAAGAAGATAAAGTCATAAATAAATCATTAAATAGAAAGTAAATGTCAATATGAGATGTATTATTGGATATAAATAAAAAAAAAACAATGAGCCTAACTAACTATTGATGGATCTGTTGTCACAATAAAGATAATATCAATAAAAAAAAAAAAAAAATTCAAAGGGTGTGCCTGCCTGCTTGCCTACCTTCCTTCCTTCATGCCTGTACCTAATTCGACCACCCTAACTAATCTTATCCTTCACTGAGTTATATTTAATTAAAAATATTTTTTTTTTTTTTTGTAAACCATAAGTAAGACGATGACTTATTTAACAATAATTGACAGATTTTAAAAAACAAAAAAATTTTTTATATATATATATGTGAACAAGTTTTTTTTTGTTTAAACAATCCATCTTATTCTTTGTTGTAATTATTATTTTATAACAATATTATTAAATAAATAAAACATTTATTAAAAAAAAAAAATAACCTCCATAAAAAAAAAGAAAAACCATCACGATATGATATGAATTATTTCAAAAAATATTATTATTATTAAAAAATAATTTTTAAATGCCAATTCTATTTTATTATTAAAAAAGGTTATTTACCTTTTTAATTATTAATTAAATAAATTAATAATTACAAATATAAATAATTCGATTACCTGATTTTTAAATAAATAAAAAAAAAACTCGTTCGTAATGAATGCAAAAAAAAAATTTTTTTTTTTTTTTACGTTATTGTTCACTTAAAATAAATCAATTATTATTATTATTATTATTATTATTATTATTAATTATAGTTTTTAAAAAGAAAAAAACTATTTTCATTTATTATTATTATTATTATTATTTAAAAAGAAAAACAGGTAAAGGTAAACGACCTTTAAAATAAAAATTAATTTTTTTTTCTTTCTTACCTGACTGATAATGAAGACGATGAGGCGCCATTTTTTTTTTTTAAATAGAATTTTTTCATTTTGGATTTTTGTAAATTATTAATAATAATAATAATAAATTTATGTAGAAGAATTATACAATCATTTCTTTCTCTTTTTTCTGCGTATTTAAAAAAAAAAATGAAAGAAAAAGAGAGAAAAAGGTTAACGTACCTTTTTTTAAAAGGAAAACAATATGGCGGACGTATACGAGTTGTATCTCCTTTAAAAAAAAATTTTTGTTGTTGTTGTGGTGGCATCATAATCTAAAAAGAAAAAAAAATGTCAACAATTTTTCTATCATAACTTTTAATATATTAATTAATTGTTTTAGTTTTTTTTTTTTTTTTTAAACAAAATGACAGATGATGTTAAAAAAAAAAAAAAAAAACTTGAATTCTTCTTTTTCTTATTCATTTTCGTGACGTTTCATTCGAATTTTATTATTTAATTATGTTTTTTTTTTTTTAACGAATCGAAAACATAACAAATTCCTCAAACCGGAAATGAAATTTTAAAAGCGGAAATGAAAAATTAATAAATTAAAACAAATCACCAAATGCAAATTTGAAAAGTTTACAATTTTTCTTCAACATTCCATCCATCTTTTTTCCTTTTTTTTTTAAACAAAAACCGAAAAGAAATAATAATAATAATAATAATAAAGAAAGGATAAGATTGAAAATGATGATGATGATGATGATGATGATGATGATAATAATTTTATTTTTCTTTAGTGTGATGTTAAAATCATTACTCTATGACTTGCCACTTTCTTTTTTCTTTTTATCCATTCACCGCTTGATTTTAATTAATGAGAATTTAAATCAATCATAAAAAATGCCGCCGAATGACGTCAAAAAAAAAAATTTAATTATTATATATATTTTTTCTCTCTTCTTTCTTCCGCCTAAAATTTATTTAAATTTAAATATTAAAAAAATGGCGGGAAAAAATTCTTGACGAAATAAAAAAATAATAAATTTTGTTAGCTTTTTGTCCACCCCCCTTTTTTTTCATTTTAAATAAAATAATTTATTGTAAATAAATTTAAAAAAAAAAACAATATTGCGTCGTGACGATTATGTTGGTGATGGTGATGGTGGTGGTGGTGGTGTTGGTGATGATGATGGTGCAATGATGAGATAATAACAGTAGCCGCGACGGTGTTCATTGAAATCGGCATTCTTTGAAAACTTTTTCAAGTTTATGAATGAAATGATAATTATTAAACGCATGCGTTTGACGGTTGTAACTAACTAACTAACTCTCTGGAAAGTCTAGAAATTTAATATATAAAATCATATTCATCGAGAAACGCTGGAGAATTCTCATCGTCGTCGTGTCAGAAGATAATTTCGATACTTATGCGAGAATTTTTTTTTATTTAGGATTTCGAACGATTTTGACCGAATTTTCCTTTTTTTTAATTATTTCACTGGCGTGACATTGATGACGATGATGATGATGATAATGACGATGATGACGATGACGATGATGATGATGATGATAATGATGAAAAGTAAAGGAAAAAAAAAGAGTCAGTCCCGATCGTTATTTTAAGAATAAAAAATTCTCCGTAACTTTTTTTTTATTTATTTTTTAAATTTACGATTTTACGCCGCGTTTTTTTTTGTTCATAACAAACGCATCACTCGCATACGTCATCGAGTTTTATATTAAAAAAAAAAAAATTTGTTTAATTTATCATTATTATCAATTTTAGAGTCGACGCGAAGATATTTACAAGTATTTACTCATCGCTCTACTCGATTCTTCTGGACTACGACGATGATGATGATGATGATAATAATATAATAAAACATAGTAAAATAATAATAATAATAATAATAATAAATTATCATGCAGAGTTTACGGACAAAATGAAAAAGTTTCCACGATTTATAAAAAAAAAAAAAAAAAAAAAAAAGAATCTCAGAAAAGTCAGCAGGATATCAAAATGGAGGCTACCACCGCGAGTTACTCGAGATTAAAACATTCTTATTATCAACTGTCATAATTTGATGTCTTATTATTCATGAATATTTCATATAAATATAAATAAACGTTTTCAAATTATTATTATTATTATTATTATTAATAAATTTTCGGAATCTTATAAAAAAAAAAAAAAAAAAACCTCCTCCTGAATTAAATAAAAAAATTTTTTTTTTTTTCGGTAACGAATTTATTATCAACACGAATAAGATATATTATGAAACAACAAAAGATGAAGACGTGAAACAACCGAAAGAGAAAGAGAGACAGAAAGACAGAGAGAGAGAGAGAGAGAGAAAAACTCATCACGTTAGTGACACTCTGACAGTAACAAGTGGGGGTAGATGACAAGAATATTTTGTGTAATCTAAAACCATTTTCGAATGAAAAAAAAAAAAACTAAAAATTTCGACTCGTTATTATCATTATTATTATTATGTAAAGAATATTTTAACTTGACGGTTATTAACAATTCGATTATTTAAAAAAATAAAAAAAAATGGAGGCGTTACCGTTAAAACGTTTCTTATAACATATGAATTTCGTCGTCGTGGTAATTATAAAGGATGAAATTGGAAGTGGTAGCAGGAGCGTCAACACGTTAAATTTAAAAAAAAAATCAACAACCCCCCTCCCCTGACCCCATTGACATCCTCCCTTCATCTCTTACCCCCTACGAACACGTAACAATCGGGGGTCGGTTAATATTGAATGCATTAAATCGCACAATGCGATGAAAGAGAGAGAGAGAGAGAGAGAGAGAGGAATAATAATAATACTTATTCGTGTATAAGTATTTGAAGTTATTGTTTGATGTACATCGATACAGGTCAAACTCATTATTTATTTACAAATTAGTTTCCATTATTGTAAAGAAACCGACAACCGGATTAAGATGGCGACACTTCACCGTGTAAATAATAAAAAAAAAAAAAAAATGAGAAAAAGAAAAGAATGAGAAAAATAGAAAAACCTTTTAAAACTACTACTACCCCTACTACCACTACCACTTCCACTAATACTTCTCTCGGATATGTTTTTATTTTATCAAAAGAAAAATCAAAAAATTCACCCTAATATGAAAAATAAGGGAAGAAAATACATACACACAAACACAAAAAGGTTTCAGGTT